TTTTGTTTTCCAATTCAATGGCAAGTTCAGTTGTTGTTTCATGGATAGTTTTAGGCCTTTTCATGGCAATTTCAACCACTCATGTTGAGGCTGTTGCCAGGGCCTTTTTCGAATTTGGTGATTATCTGGTTGATAATGGCAACAACGATTATCTCGACACCACTGCTCGAGCCGACTCGCCTCCTTACGGCATCGATACTCCTAGCCATCGCCCCACCGGCCGTTTCTCCAATGGCAAAAACATTCCTGATTTCATCAGTTAGGGCTTCTGCTCTTTTTCTTCATTGTAGTTCTATCTTATCTGATACTTATTTTGAGCTGGGATAACATACATTCGTATAATGCTAAATGAAATGACTTAAAATGTGTATGCAAATCAGGTGATGCACTTGGATAAGAGCCTACATTGCAATATTTGAGTCCAGAACTTAATGGAGATAAGCTACTTGTGGGTGCCAACTTCGCTACTGCTAGTATCGGAATCCTCAATGACACTGGAATCCAATTTTTTAAGTCCACAAATTTCTTTTTCCATAACCCTTTCAAATCCATTTTGCCTAATTCTTTTTCTGAAAGTAAATTATAATTATTGCAGATAAAATCATAAGAATGTTCAGGCAATTTGAATAGTTTGAAGAATACCAGTCCAGATTGGCCGACCTTGTTGGAGAAGATGAAGCACAAAGGATTGTAAACGATGCACTTGTCCTCATCACCGTTGGCGGCAATGATTTTGTTAACAACTACTACTTGGTGCCATTTTCAGCAAGATCTCGTCAATTCAATCTTCCGGATTATGTTAGATATCTCATCTCCGAGTACAACAAACTTCTCATGGTAAAGTCTCTTCCCCTTTTGTCCGTGTCACATTCGATCATTCAAATTCCGATCATATCGAGTTCATCCTGAATATAGATTTAGTGAACGCTATCACAACCGGAGCTTGAATAATCGAAACCAATGTAATATGATGACATTATGTTGCAGAGATTGTATGAGCTAGGAGCACGGCGGGTTCTGGTGACTGGGACTGGACCGTTGGGATGTGTTCCTACAGAACTGGCGATGAGGACCAAATGGTCATTGTAGGCCTGTAAACGAATCGAACGTTCAGAGGACATGTTCAAGATTTTGTGTTTGCTTATTTATTAAACGAACGAACATAAACAAGATTTTGTGTTCGTTTAATTAAATGAATGAATATGAACAGAGGACATGTTCATTCATTTACGTTCATGAACGTTCGGTAATATGTTCGTTCATTTATATTTGTTAATGTCCGTTTATGTGCGTTTATGTGCGTTCATTTATATTTAACCTAATCTCTCTAGACATGTTTAAAATATTAAAACCCAATAAAATTTAATCTGATATCCATAAATATTTTAAAATTTAATTAATTTTAAATACAAATAAAAAAAACTCAAAACAATTAAATAAAATATAATCCTAAAATTGTTAGGAGAGAAAAAAAATTATTTTCATTTATGTTCATTTACGTTCGTTTATGTTCATTTCTTGTGTTCGTTTAAGTTCGTTCGTTTATTGTGTTCGTTTACATCCGTATGTTTATGTTAGTTCATTTGTGTTCGTTTATCATTTAAATGAACGAACATGAACAAATTACATTCCTTAACAACAAACACGAACAAGAATTTTTTTGTTTGTTTATGTCCATTTTTATTCATTTGTTCGGTTAAAGTTAAATGAACGTACATAAACATACCCTGTTCATGTTCGTTCGGTTCGTTTACAGGACTAGGTTAGTGTGACCCAGAGCTGCAACGAGCAGAGCGGCATTGTATAATCCACAACTTCTTGAAATGATTACAGGCTCAATAGCCAACCGGGTACAACTATTTTCCTTGCTGCTAATACACAGCAACAAACCATTAATTTCATCAGTAACCCTGGAGCCTATGGTAAGTAAAATATTATAGCTTAATATCATTTCAGAACACAAATATCTTAACGTATGAATGGTAAATTTCTTTGTAGGGTTTACTACATCAAAGATAGCTTGTTGTGGTCAAGGATTATACAATGGTTTGGGATTGTGCACTCCATTATCAAATCTGTGCCCGAACAGAGACGAGTATGTTTTTTGGGATCCATTCCAGCCATCCGAAAGGGCTAATAGGATTCTCGTTGACATGATTTTGAAGGGCTCAGCCGAACACATGTGCCCCATGATTCTCAGCACCTTCTTGGCTTTGGACACCATAACCAAGACTTAGTTCACTTCCATTTGAACAGCCTAAGCTTGTGTGATACCATTTGTTGTACGCTATTGCCATATCATGCACTTGATTATTAATTTATGATGTCGTCCATGTTGGAATTCACTTCTTGATAATTTGTAATCTTTCAATTGAATAAAATCATTAAATTATATCAAATGTCTGCAAAATTTTAATAAATTTTCATTAATTTTTTTAGCTAAAAATTAAACTTAATAAACAATATATCGTGGCCGTCTTTCGGTTGGACCCGGAATTGGGCTTCGACTTAGGAAAATGGATTAGGAGTCGCCACCGATCATTTATTTTAAAGAAAATGGGTTGATCAGATACTTATTTCTTACCTGATATGCGTCTTACCAAAGATGTGTCGGATTCGGGAGTCAGTTACAGTCAAAGAAGGGTTAGCACCCTTGATTTGTCCTTTCGGTACTACGTAGTTTCCAGTTGTCTTTAATTAAGAAAATTGCAAGTTTAATTAAAAAGGTAAAATAACGATCCATAACTTACCTCTGATTGAGTAAAATACCCTTTTTATTTCTTTTTGAAAAATGTTTCGAATGCCTTTACAACGCTCTTGTATTTTGTGTGTAATCTCTGGTGGATATTTTTGTATTTCGTAGTGATCCCCCATCGAATGATATTACAAACTTATTTATAATACTAAAAAACCTATTTTTAGACTAGTCTTTGAGTCCTAATCAAACTGTGTTGCTTGCTTTTGTCGATTGTTGAGATCACCGGGAAAATCGGGCTTGTTGCATAAGGCGTGGGGCGAGAGGTCTTCGGCGGTGTTGTTGCGGCACTTGGGACTAGGGTTCTGGAAACCCTAGTTGTTGCGGGTTGCTTGGAGGCCGGTTCGGGCTGCTCCAGGTGGACCGAGTATCTGTTGCTGGATAGCTGGGCTCTAGGTCAGTGTGGTGGGTTGCACACGTGGGCTGTTGGATTTGTAAACGGGCTGGGTGTATTTGGTCTGGGCCACCTGTTTAGGCCTGAAAAATATATTTTAAATAAATGTAAATGTAGAATATATATAAATGTAGAATTATATATAATATATAATATTATATAATATAATAATGACAAACGAAATTAAGTGTATACACAATATTTGAACCTTCCATCAATGGAACTCATTAAACGATTAATCATTTAATTGATAAATGTGGGATTTTGTTTCTATTTTCTGCAACAAATTTTTGAAATGTTTATCATTTATATTAACTAATAAAATTTTTATGAAAGTAAAAAAAATAAATATAATTTTCAATAGGAGAAATAATTTTCAACAAGATCTATTTCATAAATGTTAATTGAAGTAAACTATTGTACTGAAAAAACACAAATGTCTTTGACTCATGTTGATGTAATGTATTGATTATGATAATAACTTGAAAAGTTAACACGATATAAAGTATATGTGTTCAAACCCTGATTTTTTTTAGAAAGTGAAAAGTTTTATTTAAAATAGAAAATATCTAAAAGTACAATAAAGATTTACAAGCATAATCGTAAACCTAAAATATAATTATGACATTTTTCTATTTCCATCGAGACAAAAACTAGCCACCTAGATCACATAAGGACCAAAGAAGGAAAATGTTAAAAAATATAACAAAAAAATCTCGAATAAAATAAAGATACGAATAAATCTGACTGTATTAGTGAACGAACCACAAAAAGGTATAAGGCTACTGAAAGACCACCGATAAATTGTAAATCAGAGTCAAGCGGCGTGAGAAAACTATTAACGAACGCAAAACGCGTTTCCAAATCAATAAGAGGGTCCAAAACAGGAAAGATCGTCGTGATAACAAATAAGAGTCATATTGATTAGTCGTGGCGATGTTAAATCCAACCTTGAGAAAAAGGATAAACGAAAACAATGATAAAAAACCGTAAGCTATCAAAAGGCAGAAAAAAAATGCCACAAATGCAGGGTTAAACATGCCATAAAGACAGAGAACATGTTACAAAGACATAATTATTTTTATTAAAAAACTAAAAAAAACAAAGAAAAAAAGATAACCAATGGGCGGCAATCAACATTAAAACTGGTGCCGTCGCCGATTAAATAAAATTTAAAAAAAAAGTTGGATTATTTAATAAAATTGACATAAGTTGTAAAGAATAAATAGAAGGAAAAAGAGAGGAAGAGGAAGAAAACGGCTTTAAACCCGGATTTTTAAAATAGGTGGTTAATGGAACATAAGATCTAGGTACACGCATGGGAAAATTTCTCACAAGGATGATTTAATATATAATATATTTAATTGTATTTTATATCAAAGTATCTTCTATATTTAATTACGTATTTGAAAAATATGTCATTAATGATATAATTATTTGAAAAACAATAAACGACGATATTTCAGATTTTCCGCATCTAAAAGGCTGTTGTAAAGGAAAGAAAATCCGAGGAAACTAGATTACATCTTTTATATACTTGTAATTCTCTTTCTCTTTTTTACAATTTGAAACAAAATACCACTGAGTTAAAGCAAAGTGATAAACTATATATCAAAAGCAAGTCCTTAACTCAAATGCAAGCGAAAAAGGTACCATTTCCACTGCCTATATAAATCCACCTAGTTCAGTTCAGGGACACAATCACTGCCATCGAAAAATTCATACTCGTTCAAGTAAAAATTAACAAGATAACATTGAGGTAATCAATTAAGATGCTTGCATTCTTGTGTAAATCTTCATGATTCCGACTACTTACATCTAATATTTTCAATGTGTCTTCGCTTGAAACAGATGGTGCTAGGAAATGGTGCATCGAGTTCATCGTTGAACATGAAATCAGGTGAAGACAAAGTTAATAGCAACAAGAATCTGAGTGTGTTGGTTGTCGATGATGATCCACTCATCCGAATGCTCCATGATATGCATCTCAAGAAGTTTGGACTGAATCCTCAAGTTGTTGAAGATGGGAAAAAAGCTGTCGATCTTTTTCGTATCGGAGCTTCTTTCGATCTCATCCTAATGGATAAGGAAATGCCTGTCATGAATGGCGTTGAGGTATACATATATGATTTGTCATATAATTACAAAAAATTATATACCTAATAGTAGGAATAAATACATATAGATGTGTGTGATTTATAGGCAACTAAGGAGCTGAGAGATATGGGGATAAATAGCATGATCGTTGGTGTAACTTCACGTGGCTTAGAGATTGAGATGCAAGATTTCATGGAGTCTGGCTTGGATTTTTGCTTTGAGAAGCCATTGACTCCTGATATGATCACTTTTCTTCTAAATGAGCTCAACAAGAAGAACGATGACGATAACAACGATTGATATTCTCATCATCGATTTAATTCGAGACATGATCCTCTGATATTTCTCCTTTAGTTGTCTTACTAGAAAACAACATGCAAACCCATTGCTTTCTTTAGGCATTTATGTGTTGGTTTGCTTTGCCCTTTATGGTTATCGTTAAATAACAGTTTAATGTAATTTTCCTTTTCCTAATTAAAAAAATGGTGGATAATGCCTTTTATTTTGAAATTAAATTTGGTGAAATTTTTAACATCATTATCTATGAAGCATGGCCTAAACAAAAGACTAAGTGTATTAATTAATCTGGTGCTATATGCATTGGTCTGGTTCAAGAATGTTCTACCTGAGATTACAAAGTTTGTTAATCAGTTATAAAACTGGTATTTCTAACTGATAATTAGGTAAACACGGATGGGCTAAACCTCCGCTATATAAAGAGGCTTCACTTTGTTTCAAAGAATGCATATTTCTACCTACACATTGCCACTGGAGACTCCATACTCATTCGAGCAAATTGATAAGATACCACTCAGGTAATCAATCAACATTCTTGCATCTTTGTGTAAATTTTCATGATTTTGACTACTTATAATTTATATTTTCAGAGAGAAAATGGAGGTGGGAGATGGTGCATCGAGTTCATCATCGAGCAAGAAACCAGAGGAGGACGAGATCGTTGAAAAGAACAAGAATTTGAGCGTGTTGGTTGTTGATGACGACCCAGTCATACGGAGGTTCCATGATATGCTTCTCCAGAGCTTTGGAATAAAGCCCCATATTGTTGAAAATGGGAAAGAATCTGTGGATCTTTTTGTTATTGGGCAGTCTTACGATCTCATTCTAATGGACAAGGAAATGCCTGTCATGAATGGCATTGAGGTATATATAATTTTCCAAAAGTTCAATTGATATGCTTGCGACTAAAATCATATACTAATGCGTGTGTTTGGACAGGCAACAAAGGAGATAAGAGGAATGGGGATACACAGCATGATCGTTGGTGTAACTGACTCTGACTTAGACAGCGAGAAGCAAGAATTCAGGACGGCTGGTGTAGATTATTGCTTTGAAAAGCCTTTGACTCCTGAAAGGATCAATCTTCTTCTAAATGACCTCAACAACTAAGCACCCTCTTCTGTTTGGTTTTATAGTCAGCATTGCATTCTGTAACCTTCAAAATGTTGATATTTTCCAACTTTACATGTTAATAAATAAACCATATCTTTCTTAGAATAATAATTTTACATGACTAACATTCATCCCATCTCATTTATTAATTTAAATATTATTTTATTTTTTAAGTCAAGCTATAAAATTTTATCAAAGTTATTACATCTTTCTTATAACAAAATCTTAGAATATGAATAAATATTAAAAATTTGATAATTTTAATTTATGTCTGATAATATATAATAGACCGTATCGTTTCATAGAAATCACGTTAGTGATGTTATCACCGTTGTTGGGAAATAAACCAAGTACAAGTAATTTCCCTATAACCAGATTAGTGAGAATGCGAAATAAAAACGGAAAAATAATACCCGAAATTGATAACGGAGTTCAGCCAATTTGCTTACGTCTCCGGACTGCTGCAGATCTTTTACTAAGAGAGAAAAATTACAAGTGTTTACAAAACACTCACTACTCACAAGAAAGTTCTCCAGTATTGGGAGAAAGAAATGATTTTTGGGATGGTTTTGAAGCTAAATGAGCTAGGGTATTTATAGTTAAAACTTAAGGATTTAATCTTGTAAATACCCTAAAACCTAGGGATTAATTGTGATTATCCCATTATCATTTTTCAACAAACATCTACCAAACTTTGAAAAACTATTTTTCAAAGAAACATTTACCAAACTTTGAAAACCATTTTCAAAGAAACATTTACCAAACTTTGAAAACCATTTTTTCAAAGTTGGTTACCAAACTTGAAAACCATTTTAACAATCTCACACTTGAAGACTGATTTTAGTCTGTCTTCACACCTCGATCAATGCAACAGCTTTTCTAGTCTTGTTACTCTAGCATACCAACTGAAGTTGAACACAACTTCAGTTTGTCTGTAGTCACCGTCTTTGTCAACATATCTGCCGGATTTTGAGCTCCACTGATCTTTTCAAGTTTCAAAATCTCATCTTCCAGAAGAGACCGGATAAAATGATATCGCAATTGTATGTGCTTTGTCCTGGAATGAAAAGACGGATTCTTTGCTAGATGTATAGCACTTTGATTGTCGCAATACAAGACATTGTTTTCTTGTTTCTTGCCTAACTCTTCCAAGAAACTTTGGAGCCAAACCATCTCCTTGCTAGCTTCCGTAACAGCGACATATTCTGCTTCAGTTGTGGAGAGAGCAACTATCTTCTGTAGTTGAGAAACCCAACTCACTGCGGTTCCTCTTAGAGTATACACATACCCTGTAGTGCTCCTTCTGATGTCAACATTTCCGGCTAAGTCAGCATCTACATAGCCTGTCAGTATCGTATCTCCACCTTTGAAACAAAGTGCTTTGTTTGTGGTACCCCGTAGATATCTGAGGATCCATTTGACTGCTTCCTAGTGTACCTTGCCCGGATTATTCATGTACCTGCTAACAGCTCCCACTGCTTGAGCAATATCTGGTCTGGTACAAACCATGTCATACATCAGACTTCCAATTGCTGAGACGTACGGCACCTTCACCATGTGTGCACGTTCTTCCTCCGTCTTTGGTGACTGTTCTTTGGAGAGTCTGAAATGAACACCTAAAGGTGTACTTACTGGTTTAGCATCTTGCATGTTGAACCTGGGGAGTACTTTGTTGATGTACTCAGCCTGTGATAATATCAAAGTCCCTGACTTTGTGTCTCTCTTGATCCTCATCTCAAGAATCTGCTTTGCAGCGCCCAGATCCTTCATAGCAAACTGCTTTGACAATTTTTGCTTCAAGTTTATAATCTCTTGCATGTCTGAGCCTGCAACGAGCATGTCATCAACGTACAACAATAAAATAATGAAGCTATTGTCGAACCTCTTGATGTAGCAACAATGATCTGCTTGGCATCTGGTAAAACCACTGCTACTCATGAAACCATCGAACTTCTTGTACCACTGTCTAGGAGCTTGTTTTAAACCATACAAACTCTTCTTCAACCTGCATACCAGGTTTTTCTTGTCTGCCTCTATGAAGCCTTCTGGCTGCCTCATATAGATTTCTTCCTCCAAATCACCATGAAGGAAAGCTGTCTTTACATCTAACTGCTCAAGATGTAAATTCTCTACAGCTACAATTTTCAACACCAGTCTGATTGTAGACAGTTTCACGATTGGAGAGAAAATTTCATTGTAGTCAATACCTTCTTTTTGCTGAAAACCTTTGACAACCAATCTCGCTTTGTAGCGTTTGCTCCCATCGTGCTCTTCTTTGATCCTGTAAATCCACTTGTTGTGAAGCGCTTTCTTGCCTGGTGGTAATTCAGCTAATTCCCACGTCTGATTTGACAAAAACGAGTCCATCTCATCTTTCATGTAAGACTCCCACTTGATTGAATCCTCCACTTGCATTGCTTCATCATAGCACTCTGGTTCACCATTGTCAGTCAGCAACAAATAGTGCAAAGAAGGAGAATACCGTTGGGTTGGTTTAGGAATTCTGGAGGAGCGTCTTAGTTCCGGTGTGCCTGGTTCTTCTTGAACTGCTTCAGGACTGATCTGAACATCATTTCCAGAAATCTCCTCAAACTCAGCAAATTCCTTTGTTTCAGCTTTGGTATTGGAGCTGCTTGATTCTACAGTTGACCTGTCTTTGTACATCACATTCTCATTGAAAATGACATCTCTGCTTCTAATGATCTTCCAATTTTCATAGTCCCAAAACCGGTAGCCGAACTCATCACCGCCGTAACCAACAAAGGAACATTTGTTGGACTTAGCATCAAGTTTACTTCTTTCAGCAGAGTCTATGTGTACATAAGAAATACAACCAAACACTCTTAAGTGTGAAAGGTTTATTTCTTTCTTGTTCCAAACTTCCTCTGGTATTCTGTCATCCAAAGGAACTGAGGGCCCACAGTTGATCAAGTAAGCTGCAGTGTTGATAGCTTCAGCCCATAGAAATTTGGGCAATCTGGCATGTATCCTCATGCTTCTGGCACGTTCATTCAGAGTTCTGTTCATGCGTTCTGCTACGCCATTCTGCTGCGGTGTCATGGGAACTATTGTCTCCATCTTGATCCCATTGTTTGCGCAAAAATCTCTGAATCTCCTATTTCTGTACTCTCCTCCATTGTCAGACCTCAACCGCTTGACTTTCATACCAGTCTCATTTTCCACCATGGCCTTCCATTTTCTGAAGGTATCAAAGACTTCTGATTTTTTCTTCAGAAAATAAACCCACACCTTCCTTGTAGAATCATCGATGAAGGTGACATAATATAATGAGCCTGCAAGAGATGGAACTGGAGATGGTCCCCATACATCAGTATGAACTAACTCTAACTTTTCAGCCTTAGGTGTCTTACCAATCTTTGCAAAGCTGACTTTCTTTTGTTTGCCAAAGATGCAATCCTCGCATAGTCCGACATCTACATTCTTTAGATCCGGCAACTTCCCCTTTGACAAAAGTGTCTTCATCCCTTTCTCGCTCATATGGCCAAGCCTTTGGTGCCATAGGTTTGATTTTCCATCAGCATCTGCTACTGCAATGATATTCTCTAAATTTGATGTTATATAGAGAGTACCAGTTTTCTTACCACGAGCAATGACGAGTGCTCCTTTGGTAATCTTCCATTCACAACCTGAAAAGGTTGTACTGTATCCTTCTCCATCAAGCTGTCCTACAGAAATCAAATTTCTTTTGAGACCAGGAATATGTCTCACTCCTGTCAGCTTCCAGGTGGTCTGGTTTGGCAGCTTTAGTCGGATGTCTCCTTTTCCGACGATCTTCAAGGTTTCATCATCAGCAAGATGAACCTTCCCAAAATCACCACTGACATAGTTCTCCATGATTTCTTGGCATGGCGTGGAGTGGAAAGATGCCCCTGAATCCAAAATCCATGATTCAATCAGACTGTTGACGCTTAAAATCATGGCATCACCTGTCTCCTCCGTCATGTTGGCAGATTCCTGTGCGCCGGTATTTTTCTTCGGTGCTCGGCAATCTCTTTTGAAGTGGCCCTTCTTGCTGCAATTATAACAGGTAAAATCTTTATTTCCTGTTCTTGATTTTCCCCTTCTGGATTTCGATCTGCCACGATTTGAATTTCTTTCTGAAGTTCTCCCTCTGGACTCCGTGTGCAAGGCTGAGGAGGTTGATGCTTCACCCGATTCTCTTCGTCGAATTTCTTCGCTCAATACCAGATCCCGAACATCGTCGAATTTTAATTTGTTGTTTCCCGACGAACTACTGACTGCTGTAACAGTAGCATTCCAACTGTCTGGTAAAGATGATAAGAGAATTAAAGCTCGAACTTCATCATCAAATTCAATTTCCACTGAACTCAACTTAGTTGTGATTGTGTTGAGTTCATTTAGGTGTTGTGTCATCGATGCCCCTTCCGTCATCCGCAAATTGAATAATCGCCTCATCAAGTGCACTTTGTTTGAGGCTGATGGCTTCTCATACATACTGGAGAGAGCCGCCATAAGACCCGCCGTGGTCTTTTCCTTTGCTATGTTGAAAGCAACATTGCGGGATAACGTCAGTCGGATAACTCCGAGGGCTTGTCTGTCGAGAAGAGCCCAGTCTTCATTCTTCATGCCCTCTGGTTGCTTTCCTAAGAGAGGTTGATATATATTTTTCTGGTACAGAAAATCTTCAATCTGCATCTTCCAAAAGCCAAAGTCTGCACCATCGAACTTTTCAATTTTCACCTTCCCTTCGTCTGCAGCCATCGCTCACACTCGAATCTGGTTTCGTTTGGATCGTTTCTGACAATTCTTGCGAACCACCGTGTATTAGAACACCTCCGTCGAAAAATTTGTATCGCCGACAAAATTTTACTATTCACGAAATTCACTACTCACATGAATAGTAACCTTGCAAAAATTGACAAAATTCACAACCAAAAGCTCTGATACCAGTTGTTGAAAAATAAACCAAGTACAAGTAATTTCCCTATAACCAGATTGGTGAGAATGCAAAATAAA